ATGCATATTAAATGACAGAAAATTCATTGTGTGTTGCAATATAAATTAAGGCCAAAACCCAGACAGATCAGCCACCTTGTTCACTCAGATAACAGACAGCATATTCAGAACTATTTCTTATATGGTTTTGCATTTTTTAAGCTACCTTTAGTGCTTTTCTTCTTCTACTACATTTACTAAGCTCTGTGTAGTTTACAAAGTATGTATTTGCCATACTTAATGCCTCTTCCTCAGAAATGCTGCTTATCAAGAGTAGGTGCATAAAGCACATATTAAATTGATATATGCCACCAAAGGAATAGAGAAGAGGAAATCCAGCAGGTCTTCTAAATTTTTATAGCCCTCCATAATTTTTCACTTCTTTGTTACCAAGACAGTGTAGGTTTTAAAAAAAAAACAACAAAAAGAAACCAAAAAAGCATTGCTACAACACCTAAAACATCCAAGGATCACTTTTCTTAGAACAGGTGCCCCCAAAATCACTTATTTTTGTGTCTAGAAGTTCTGTCAGGTAGGACAACTCTTTTAAAGATTGTATCCTGAAAATCAGCATTAAAGTATGTAGCACAAACTGTTTTTACCTCCTTCTACACAAAAATGTTTTCATATTCAAAGTCAACCAGGGATGAAAATCTCAGGAAAAAAAAATCCACGGACTTAACACTGCAAATAGTTAAGCAGGAATACATAAGAAATGGGATGGTGTGTGAATTTCAGAAGCTTAATCTTTTAGTTAGAGAAGGTTTAATTTTTGGTACAAATATTTCTGGAGCCATCACACTGGTGGGAAGACTGAAGCATTAACATGGCACAACTAGACAACCCATTTAGTTGTTGGGACTGAAAATAAGTGGTTGATTTATTGATTACTACCTTTTGCAAAAGGATCAAGCTACTATTATAGACAGTTTTTTCAATTGCTATACCGTATTTCCATCCATAAAATCTTTCTAAGCAATTGAAGGAATTTGCTATTTCAGTGCCTAACAGCTGGAATGATCTTAAACATGAAATACACACTTCTAAGTTGCATGTTTCATATTTGAGGGACTTCAGAGGTGATTTCAGAGCTGGTTTCAGAGCTGGATTGAAACACAAACCTATAATACCTATAGTTTAAGGCTTCTGGACTTCCACTGCCTTTGAACTTGTAGTTGTGCAATTTTGCTGAGCCTGGAGATGAAGTTTTGCTGAGTGGTGAAGGATTTTAAATTAGACTCAGCACATAAGAACACAGTAGGTGGCTGGCTTGTGCACATGAACTCAACAGCAAGATGCCCAAAGCACAGAAAAAGAGAGGTCTGGATTAATTAGAAGGATGCAATGGTTTGGGCAGAAAGGAACCTTAAAGATCATCCAGACACCTCCCACTGTCCCAAGTGCTCCCAACCCCAATGTCCAGCCTGGCCTTGGGCACTGCCAGGGATCCAGGGGCAGCCCCAGCTGCTCTGGCAATTCCATCCCAGCCCCTGCCCACCCTGCCAGGGAACAATTCCTGTCCAAGATCCCAAGATCCAGCCCTGCCCTCTGCCCCTGGCAGCCATTCCCTGGCTCCTGGCCCTGCAGCCCTTGGCAATTGTCTCTCTGCAGCTTTCCTGGGGCTCCTTCAGGCCCTGCAAGGCCACCCTGAGCTCAGCCCAAAGCTTCTCCTGGCCAGGCTGAACAATGGCAGCTGGGCCAGCCTTTGCTGCCAGCAGAGCTGCTCCATCCCTCTGCTCATCCTGGAGCCTCCTCTGGGCTCTCTCCAGCAGCTCCAGCTGCTCCCTGGGCTGGTCCCAGGGCTGGGGCAGCTCTGCAGGTGGGGTCTCACCTGAGCAGGGCACAGGGACAGAATCATCTCCCTACATTCCAGTTTAGACAAATATATATTTTTTTGTTGATGTGTGTGTGTATATATGTTTTCTGCATTCGTTAATCTCCCCTTTTCTCCAAGCAACAAGGAGAATTTTGTGATTCACTTATTTAAAACTGAACCTTTCACTCTGCTCTAAGATATAAAGAGGGTTCCTCTATTGGGCTATTTACACTGAGTGTGTAAAGCTGCAGAGCTTCTTTCTTACTCAACACATTTATAGATAGTTCCAGGCTCATTTCCATGATGAAAGCAGGTCCTCTCAGCATGTACAACCCTGCACAAAACTGCAGCTACCCAAATGCAGCACTGCACTTGGCAATCCTTGCAACCTCATTCATAATTCCAGCTGACATAACCAGTGTTCCTAGGTTGATGTATTCCTGATTAATGGGACATTAGTTCTGTATCAGGTAGCAATTTCTGAATAGTCTTTTTCCAATGAGTTATGAATATGGCTTGATTATTACCATTTGACCTACTCTTGTGTTGAGATGATTTGTAGCTGCATTTTCCCAGAGGACCCACCAAATGTCATTGTCTTGGAAAAACTACCAGTTATGTTCCAGTAATTAAATGGAGATTAAAAAAAAATTGCATGGTAACCCTGGAATTTGTGCTTGGTATGCAGCAATCTGGAATATTTGTACACTTCCTTACAAGAGAATTTCCTTAATGTGAATGAAAATGAGCCACATAATAATTCTGAAAGTGTTCACCTAATACAAAATACAGCTGCTTCTGCCTCTTAGACATTTGGAAAAATCAAGTTCTCTGCCTCACTCAATTTACCCATGGCAGTTAAAAAATAATGCAATCATCAGGTACAGTCAGGCTCAAAAATCTATTGTGATCTCAGTCCAGGAAAAGACCTAATCCCAATGTAAATTTAAAAAAAAATAACAACACTAAACCCCCAAAAAACCCAAACAAACAAACAAAATAAACAAAAAAGAAATCCAAACCAAAACCAAAACCAACCAACAAACAAAGAAAAAATATAACCCTTTAACCTTTACATAGGAATCAGACACAGCTAATTTACTATCCTGAGACCAACTAAATATTTTCCAACTGTCCAAAACTATAACTTGGTTAAAAAGTCTCTGAAAAAAGTTGAAATAAGCAACAATAAACTTATCTACACCCTGGGAAGGAATTGTTTTGGCATCTCCCACCTCTTGTTAGCTGGGACATAAACAAGTTGCCACAACTTTAATGACTTACTTTGCTTTTTCTGATGATGAGGGGAATGGATTTTTTATCCTTTGTTTATTATATAATAACAAAATACTATTATCCCTTAAGGAGATATTCAGAATTACATACGCTTGAAAAACCCAGAAGTCTTGAATTATGTGGTCAATTAATGAGAAGATCAAGAAATAATACCAATAGCAATCTTGAATTTTTTGTATGATGCCAATTTGCAAAATCATACTTGCACATACATTGTCATGTGCCATCTATTAAAGAGAAGTCATTCTCCTTTTTAAAACGACAACAGAAATGAAGGACACCTTGATTTAAAATTCTCTTTGCCCGGTGACTTGCTGTGCCACTTGTCACACTAGTTTTCAGAGTAATCTTTTTTCAAAAGAGTGTGGGAGCTTGAGTGCTAACTTGGATGCCACTGAACTTCCCTTTCCTGCCAGTTTGATTATTTCACAACAAAAGACCTTCCTTCGATTCACTGCTCTGTTTATTGTCAAGCAGAAGTGCATCAAATGAAAAGCTGGCACCCCAGCTTCAGGAAAAATCAAGCAAACCTGCAAGCTAGAAAGAAACATTTTCATCAGGCACCACCAGGCAGAGCAGGAAGACCATAAACACAATTTAAATTCAAACATCTTCAGGGGCAAAGCACATTCTTTCGAATTTGTTTGTGACAAGGAGGTCCTGATCACAGAATCACAGGACAAAATCACGGAATCACTGAGGCTGGAAAAGATGTCCAGGACCATCCAGTCCCAGCTGTGCCCGATCCCCACCTTGTCCCCAGCCCAGAGCCCTGAGTGCCACCTCCAGGTGACACCTCCAGGGATGGGCACTCCAGAGCTCCATTCCAACACTTAATAACACTTTCCTTGAAGAAATTTTCCCTGATGTCCATCCTGAGCCTCTCCTGGCCATTTCCTCTCCTCCTGTCCCTGTTCCCTGGCAGCAGAGCCCGACCCCCCCGGCTGTCCCCTCCTGCCAGGGACTTGTGCAGAGCCACAAGGGCCCCCTGAGCCTCCTTTGCTCCAGGCTCTGCCCCCTGAGCTCTCTCAGCCATTCCTCATATTTCTGACTCTCTAGTAAGAGACTGGAGCTTCTCAGTGCCCTGAGAGTCACCATCTTCACTGCCCAGGACTTCACAGACTGGGAGAGCTCTCTGTGTTTTTCTGAGGTGTGGAGGAAAATAATACACCCAACACCAGCCTGCAGGTCAGTGAGAGAGAATGCTTTGCATCCTCTGCATTTCCAGTCTAATTTCCCCCTCCCTAGATGATTTTCTGTAATTATTTCTCTGCACTTGTGCAAAGTTTTTCATTAAACCTGAAATATCTGACAGCGCAATAAGAAGATAACTGCAGCCATGTGCTCTCCAAAGGATGCAGTTAGCCTAACTTGAAGTTAGGCTACTTTCCACAAACAACAGACAATTTTTCTCTCTTCTTTTGGTTTATTTTTATGTGTTTTTTTTTTGTAGCAAGGGCTGTGCAGTTCCACACACATTTAGCAGCTTTGCTCCACGTGCTCTGAAGGTCACGAATCCTTTCACGTGTATTAAAATAAGGAAAGCAGACACAGTTTCCTCCCCATCACATAAAGTATCCCTGAAAGAAGCCAAAGAGCTGCCTCAGGCTGGGCAGTGTGCCGCAGGAGCATCACCAAAAGTCGGGAAAGAGGGAAAGAGATAAACTCGGGCAGGAGACGAGGCAATGAGTAAGGAGCGCTGTCATTTAATAAGGTCTGTTCTCAGTAATTACAGCGACACAATTTGATCAGCAAGGACTAAGTATCTTCATCTGAAAGGGATCAGATGAAATTAGTGCTGATGTAATAAGTACCATTTGTCACTATTAGGGAGAGAGGTGTTGACAGGTCCCTGCCGTTGCCGTGGCAACGCGGCAGCGCCGTTCCTGCCGTGCACAAGTGTGGGATGCAGAGGATGCTCGGCTGGGATAACCCAGTTCCCCCCTTCCCCAGCTGGGATCCCCTGATGCTAACCATCCTGCCATTCCCTGGGCTCGGTTTGGGGCTCAGCTCTGCCATTCCTCAGCCTCTAGCCTGCCTCAGTTTCCCTGCTGGCAGCGACCTCAGAGCATCCTCTGGGATGTTCTGGATCATTCCACCTTGCTGCCAGTCTCTTGCAGCCAGCTCTCACACAGGCCCCGTGGCAGCTGGGAAATTCCTGCAATTTCTGGATATTTTGACGGCATCCCCACACACCTGCTGGGTGATTTTCTCCCACACAGCCTTAATGGGAGATTTAGAAATGCTGAGGGCTTTGTGTTGGCCAAACTCGAGCTGAAAGGTGTCCTTTTTCCACCAGGCAGCCCCATAAAGGGAATTGTCATTGCAGGCAGAAGCTGAGCTTTCTCTGACACTGGGAGTCCAGCAGCGAGGTTATTCACAGGTAGATTACATATTGTTACAATATTTTTCCACTGATGCATTCCACGATGGGAAATAAAAAAGGGAAGATTTGCAGCCAGCAGGGTAAAAAGCTAAGTGTGAAATACCACATGAAAGGAAAAAAAAGAGTGGTTCTCTTGATCAGATACTCATAATCAATGCACATAGCCAAAACACAATCTTAATTACTATCAGTGGGTGGAAGTTCCCTGAATGTTAAATTACCTGCAGCAATTATGATCTACTGAGGAACCTGTTTACAGCTTCCTGAAATTATCATCACATAATTTGGCAATCTGCCATATTTTATTTCATTAAAAACTTAATGTACCGTAACATAATAGCCATAATAAAGCTGTCAAGATCCACTTGCTGCTATTTACTTCGATATCATCTGTTTATTATCTCTCAAAACCAAAAGCCAAACAGAAAGGAAAACTGAAAACTCACAGATCACACGAGAAAAGGAGAATATGAAGGGCTCCCTCTTTCTGCTGTACAGCCCCAGCATCCATCTCTGTCACATTTCTCTCACAGTCAAAACCATGCACAGAAAATACCTAAAAACCTGTTTCTGAAGACCTTAACTGCTTGCTAAAGTGTGATGCACATAGACAGGACAAAACATAATTTGCCAGAACCCAATAATTAGCAGTATTTTACACTACAGCTAACATTAGCAACACCAATAAAATCATCATGATTTTCAAGCTGTCATCTGGAAGAAGTGCTTCCTCTGCCAGGATACCTTTAAAATTAAACACTGAATTTGAGAAAGCTGCAGTAGCTGGAACTGATGGGAAAATCAAGAAGTCAGTGGCTGTCACAAAATGCAAAGCTGTTGGATGAGGAGTTAATCCCTTCAATTAGGACCCAACAGCTTCAGCCAAAACGAGGAGAGTTTGTGGCTGTGCTCTGGCTTTCGCTGAGGTTTCGTGGTTCACATGGAGTAGGTCTGGGAACAGGAGTATTTATGAGCCATGGAGAAACCCAGCAGCTCCACTGACATCACAAATGTTGATTTCCTTCCCCAGCTCCTTCCTCACGCCCTGACATGCACCACCACGCCTGCTGAGGCTTTGAAGATGATGAAATGCCAAGAGATGCAGGCTTTGGGAAGAACCAAAGGTGCATTGCTCCGTTCAGGTGCAGGTGGGACAACAATGACAACAACAGTTTCACAGGTGAATAGCAAGAGAACTTTGGAGACCTTAAGCTGAGAGCAATAAGCAACAAAATTTTTCTGAATCCACCCCAAACCTGATTGGAAGTATGAAAATCTAAAGTTATGGCTTCAACTGAAACAGAAATATTTGTCAGATAAATTTTTCATACAATTACCTGATCCAAGGGCTCTGAGCTTCCCCTAAACTAATGTACTACTAACAGAGCTGGGATACTCCAAAAAACCTCCCACTCAGTGAGTTTGTTGCACTAATTTCCACCACGTTAATGACAAATACTAAAGTAGTTTAACCTGCTTACATGGATGTTAAGAATAGACTTACTGTGTAGCACATTGGTTGATATATTTTTCCCACTTGTTTGTTGTATTTTTTTTTTTTATTTTTTTCTGGCTTATAAATCAAGAAAATAGAAAAGATTCCATTAAGTTTCTGTGCACCACTAAGATACTGAAATCTCAATGACAGAGCATTTTATTTGCAAAACATTCCAAGACAATTTCACAAATGGGGCAAATAAAACAAGACACAATGCATTAAGTTTTCAAGTAGGGAGGGATAAATTAACACTATGTTTCAGAGCCCACAGACAGCTAAAAGGAGCATCAGTTGATATTATTTGGGTAATTCACAGTTTTAATCTTCAAGTTTTCAAGCAAGGGAAGAACTGCTTGATATACCCAATTTACAGGCAGTATTTCTCTGTGTTTTAGATTAATGCATCAAATAGAAAACAATCAACACATCCATGTGTACTGAAGAAATCTGAAGGGAACCTGTAATAAAATAAAATAAAATCCAGAGGAAAAAGAGCACTTTTCATTAAAACAATTCTGCTGACATCATTTTACCCCTGGGTTGGGCATTAACCATAAGTGTGATTTACAGTGAGCATTTCTTCTGCTTACAAGTCCTGCATTTCCAAGGGTGAGCAGGAAAATGAATATATTTTCCTCAGTTTCATGCTCAGAACTAATGCTTATGCCATGGCATCTTTATCACATAATATTAGCTAAAAATGAAAAGCAAATACTTATTTGACTTTCAAATTCCTATCCAGATGTCTCCTCTCAGAAAATAAACACTGCCACAAGAGTTATAGCAAATCCTCCACACTGCTTCAGTTGCACTGTGAGATCATGGAATTATTAAGGTTGGAAAGACCAAGATCATCAAGTCCAAACACAAAATAATTCAGATTTCTCTGCAAGTTTTCTCTCTTTGCCTTGGGGTGCAACTGGAAAGTGCAAAGGAAAGGGGAAGAGCAGAGGCTCTGCTCTTATCTGCAATTTGAAGCTCCCCATAGACAGAACAAACAACTAGAAACAGCAAAAATCAAGAGTCTTACACTTGAATTAGCAAACAAAATCTGAAATTTGGGGGTTATGCTACAGCAAGTTATAAGCTAAAATAAGTATAGAAAAGACCTTAAATGTCAGTTCTCAAACATCACTGGCATTACTGGAACAATTCCAGTTCAATCAAATGGGTTTGAAATATGAAAAATTGTCTGGTTTACCAGAGTGGGAGTTAGGCAATGACAACATTTTATCACAGCTGAATCCAGTTTCTTGCTTGAACTGAAGTAAAACATTAAACCTGCAATTTAACTCACATTACAGGCTTGAATTCTCTCTTTCCTTTCAATATATCCCCTCTTTTGCCTAAAAGGACCTGCTGTGATCAATGTCACTGCATCTCTAAAATGCCAATATTCTCTCTCCTACTTGTAGCTCCCTTCAGGCCCTGCAAGCCACAGAGAGCTCACCCCAAAGCTTCTCCTCTCCAGGCTGAACAATCCCAAACCTCTCCAACTTCCCAGCAGAGCTGCTGTACTCACCATCATCCATCAAAGATCTTCGTGACAAAAATTCTCTTGGTGTGGGGAAGGCCAGGAGGCCTCAAATGCCCCAAAGCCATCAGAAACGTGTGACAATTGCTGTGCCAACCTTAATTTCTCTGCTTCTGCTCCGTTATGTTAATGATGCCACAAATAATTGGACTCCTTGAGAGGTTTTCACAACACTTTTTCAAGTTTTGCTTTATTATTTTCAGCTATTGATTGTGAGGGTTTTTTTTTTCAGCAAAAGATTTATAACGAGCTTATTGAAATGCATCCTCAGAGGCAGTTCAGGGTTACATCATCCTGTCCCTCGTGCTGTTATCATTAGAAGGGATGTGCCACCATTACTGCCTGAAATTTTTTAAAAGGCTTTAAAAGAAAACAACCCAAAACCACCACAAAAGCACATCAACACTGCTGAACATGCTTTGGCAATATTTCCAGATTTTACAATGGCTTTATTTAATCTGAAAGTTGTACTTAAAGGGAAAAGGCTCAAAATAGTAGCTGCTCACAGCACAGCAGATGGTCCAGACAATAAAAAAGGCAGAACTATTTGAGGAACGTGAGTTGTTCACTGATACAGACAGAACCAGTTAGGAAGTGTGCAGTGAAAATGGTATTTCACTGGAATAATCTGATTTTTAACTATATAGATAAATTTTTGGGAATAATCTGATTTTTAACTATATAGATAAATTTTTGGGTTTTTTTTCCCTTAAAAAATAAAAAGGTGTTCTTAACCTGTCTGAATGGTTCACTCTAATGTGAACCATGTTTCAAAATGCTATTTAATTTAGAAACCTTGGAAAACTTCAGTAACTTCTTCAAATATTGGGTGGGGAAAACTTGGGATGACAGACACATTTCAAGCCAGGGTAGTTTCAGATATATATCCTATAGGCACCTTATTGCTGGATGAGGGAAGAAATTTTAAATTGTATTTTTTCTAGGACATCAAATTTTTTTCCTGTTTCAAAAGAGGGTTTCATGTGGCCAGGGAAAGGGGGAGAAATAATCATGACATAGAGTAAAATACCTAACTGGGAAATCATGGTTAAATATTGGAATTACCTGATTTATAATTTGGAGGTTTATTATTAGTACACAAAGCTATAATCCATGTCAGTAATTCCTTTAAAAAGCCACCTCAAGGTGGTAACATTTAAGTCAAATCCTAAACTTGCAATAGCTGTAGAGTTCACTCATTAATTAATGATGTAATCTACATGTAGTGAGTTCCCAACTATTTCATTACTTTAAATAGTAAATTAACTCTTGAACTTTACCAGGTTCTTCCTTGCAGTTAAAATAAAGAAAATGTTTAAAAAGAAATTAATAAATTATAATTAAATAATAATAATTATATAAATAATTAATTTAATAATAATAATAAATAAATAAAAATATTTATATCAATAAAATTAAATAATAATTATAAATAATAATTAAAGAAAATAAAGAAAATATTTAACCTGCAATGCCTTTGCTCACCTTCCTGTGCACTTTCATTCAGGTCACACAGGAGTTCTTTAAGGCTTATTTGGAAGAGAAAGTGGAAGGTGAAGGGATTTTCTTGCATGAGCCACCAGTGATTTCTGAAACCAGTGATTTCTGAAACCAAGATGTAAATATTTTTACAGACCCAGGAAGCATCACACAGGTCTCTTCTGTATCCACACTGCTCTCTCTTGAAAGGCAGTTTCAGAACTTAGTTTCTGCTGATGCCTGGAAGCTTTCTTCCATTTTCCAGGCTAAATGTGTTTGGGATCAATTGATATTGATGTTTTCCTTTAACAGCTTTTCACCCTCTCTGATATTGTATATTATTTTCTTTAGAGAAGGCCGTGGTATTTCCCTGATATATTTATTGTAATGATATTGAACCAATCACTATCTTTTTAGCATTGCTTCCTGAGAAATTTTCCTTATCCCTGATTCCTGTCAGCCAGCCTTCTCTGCACTTATCCCAGTGTGAATTTATCTCTGTGGATGACCATCCAAGAGGAAAATGCTCCAAATGAAGGGTGAAATTTATTTATATAACAATGCTAAAGCTTCCACCTCTTTAGTAAAAATACAACCCCTCCCAACTTTTCCATTTGGATGGTGCTTTATTGACTTTATGCAAGTTCAGAATGAAGTTCAGCATAGGCTATCCAGTGTCTGGAATTCCCAGTATTTCTGGAGATAAGAAAGAAAAAAAGATTTATTTTTACTGGAATATTATTCCCTATGGAGCTGAATGGCCTTGTACTACCCTGCTACCATTTCCAGGCCTGGAAATTATTTTAATTTCTCCTTTCTAGTGACTGCCTGCTAGTAACTGGAAAATATTTTTATTTCTTCTACAAATCTAAATCCTGTGACAGAAATCACTGATTTCCATGACTTTAAAGGAAACTTCAGTGTCCCATGGCTTCCAAGTTTGGCTAGCAGCTAAAACACCCAATAATTCATGATGCTAATGAGAAAGCAATCACTGGGACAAAGAATTTCAATGCTTCCACGTTAGCAGTTACCATTATATGCTAATCACATTTTAATTGCTAACCAGCCACCACCAGAAAAGAACAGGCTACAAAAGCAGAAAATAAAATTCATGAAGCAGAATCTTCAGTTTGTCTATGCTTTCATGTTTAATTTCCATTAGTTACTAATCTGACCTGCATATGTGAGAACTACATTAGTTTAAGGGAAGCTCAAAGCCCTTGGATCAGGTAATTGTATGAAAAATTTATCTGACAAATATTTCTTTTTCAGTTGAATAACTTTGGATTTTCATACTTCCAATCAGGTTTGGGGTGGATTCAGAAAAATTTTGCTGCTTATTGCTCTCAGCTTAAGGTCTCCAAAGTTGACTGTGTCTAACCTGGGCTTGTTTTCACAGCTAAACCACCAAATCAGTGCCACAGCACGACTTCCAGATGTGGTGAAGGAGAAGTTTTTGAGCCCTGGCACAGCACTGGTGCAATTCACTCAGCCCTAAGCACCAGAATTTCATCCCTCTGATTTGGAAAGTAGTGAAAGCCCCTTTTCCTGAGAAATCCTACAGAGAGAAGTTTTCAGGAGAATGAAGTAAAACAATCAATAAAAAAGCTGCCCTGTCCTTTTTGCCCAGGTGCAAGTTATTTCTACCCAAACATAGGTTCTCTGTGTTATTTCTGAACCCTTGAGAGCTCCTCTGGCCCACAAAAAGCCTTGGAAAGGAGTTTTATTTCAACCTCTTAGGAAGATCAGAAATCTTTCTAATTAAGTGCTGGGCAAAAATCAGGGAAGAACAACAATTACTGGAGAGGCACATGGGGAGAAAATTCCTGTGGTCCCTCAGGAGAGGAAAAAAAACCCTTCAGGACAAAGGATGCTGGAGGACAGAGGTTGATCTCAGTGCAGGTGCTGCACCAGGGGAGGCTCAGGGTGGACAGCAGCAGGAATTTGCCCATGGAAAGGGAGCTCAGGCCTTGGCAGGGGCTGCCCAGGGAGCTTTGCAGTGCCCATCCCTGCAGGTGTCACCTGGACGTGGCACTCAGGGCTCTGGGCTGGGGACAAGGTGGGGATGGGTCACAGGTTGGACTCCATGGGCTGGGAGGGCTTTTCCAGCACCAGGGATCCTGGGATTCTGTAAAGAGCTGGGAAGGGGCTGGAGCCCCAGGAGGGGCTGAGGGAGCTGGGAAAGGGGCTGAGCCTGGAGCAAAGGAGGCTCAGGGGGCCCTTGTGGCTCTGCACAAGTCCCTGGCAGGAGGGGACAGCCGGGGGGGTCGGGCTCTGCTGCCAGGGAACAGGGACAGGAGGAGAGCTCAGGCCTCAGGCTGGGCCAGGGGAGGCTCAGGGTGGGCAGCAGCAGGAATTTGCCCATGGAAAGGGAGCTCAGGCCTTGGCAGGGGCTGCCCAGGGAGCTTTGCAGTGCCCATCCCTGCAGGTGTCACCTGGAGGTGGCACTCAGGGCTCTGGGCTGGGGACAAGGTGGGGATCGGGCACAGCTGGGACTCTTGGAGGTCTTTTCCAACCTCAGGGATTCTGTAGTTCCAAACTGACTCCTTGGAGACCTCCCTTGCTCAGATCTCGTGCAGTTACCTTTGGTTTGGCAACTGCTCATCCAGCCTGGCTTTGGCTCTTGCCCAGACATGGATACCACAATTCCTATTTTCTTGCCTTTTCTTCTTTCTTCACCTGTTCATTTGCTACCCATAGCACAAAAGAACTGAGATCCTCATTACTTGTTAAGTTGTTCCTATTTCGAATATGTTTGTGTAGCTTTTTTCTAGTTAAGCCAATGGTAACTTGTATTTCTCTAACCATCTTTGGTGCTGCTGAGGAACTTCACAGGGCTGTTTGGAGCACAAATGCAATTTTAGCAAAAGTAGGGACTTTTAGGCACTCTTTTATTCTTGCCACTGATCTGAGAAACAGCAGTGGTCTTACACATGGCTGACTCAAATCACTTGCTAATAATGCATCTCTCTAACAGATTCTCATTTGTGATGACATTTCTTTTATTTTCTTCTAGATGCAAAGAGTTTGGCCGAAATGCTTATGAGGTAAGAACAAATTGCATTTTATTGTTGATTTATTTTTTTTTTTCAAATTGAAAAATGTCTGTCAGCTACAGCATCATATTTAAGTATTGTTGTAGGGACAAATGGAGAAGGAGAATTTTTATTCTTAAACCTTTTTCCAAAACACACCATTTGTCTGTCTGTTAAGAGCTGTGATGCACTGATGGTCAGACATGGGAGAAAGAAGACATTTTGTGGACAGTGTGAGGGGCTACAGTGATAAAAAACCTGATAACTCATGTTAGTAGATTAAATCATAGAAGCTGTGGCTATGTAGGTCCATTTGGACATTTTTCCTAGGCTGAAAAACATTTTCATAATATGTATCAAAGTAATTGCTCTTCAGAGATCATCTGATTAAAGGCAATAAATTTCTGGCTCTGAATATCTCTAAACTTTGCAGCTCTGTTTATTTGTTAGCTGCTTATACCCAAAGGTATAAAAGAGCAGGTAAATCCATTTATTATTTTTCACTTCTGTTCCATCAGCTCAGCATTCAGAAATCTAATTCAGTTGTTGAATTGCATCATAATGACTATTCTGGCACCACAATTCTTTCCAAGACGGAAATTTCATATCTTCAGTTTTTATTGTTTTGTCTAGGGAAAATACTGAGCTTTAGAACCACTGCATATGTTTGAAACTGGGATTGCCAAGGGATTATTCTTGAGTTCAAATGAATTTTGGGTTGCTAGAAAATATTTTTTATATTCAAGCAACAAATTTGACAAAGTCATAGATACTTCACCACATGAACCACCCTCCAAACTTCTATTGTAAGAATGAGCTCAGCAAAGACAGGGTGGCAGATGGGTTGGGTGTAAATTCAGCTCTGTGCCATCATATCTGAGTGAGCCCAGTGATGATAACAGGACTGGTCATGCAGACCAGGTCATCCCCTCCCTGGCTGCCCGTGGTAGCAAACTGTGGTGTTCAGCAGCTTCAGGAACATTTGTCCTGCTGGTTCCTGGTGCCACACAGGACAGCACAGGTCAGCACACACAGCAAGTCTGTTCCCTGCTCTGGATGGAGACTTTCAGTGCCAGTGACAACCACTCAGAGCCCTCTGCAAAACTGGGAACACTCTCCCCTAACTCTGCTTGGCTCCACAAGCCTTGTCACCACTTCTGCAAGGCCACTGCAGAGTCTCACTCCTCTGACACTTAGAAAATGTCCTCCAAACTTCCAGCAGAAATGCCCAGGTTTTACCCACTTTTTCCTTTGCTGATGGTTACCAAATTAAGGAACTTTTGTCCTCCCTACCTGATGTACTCAGAGAGCAGCCAGGTCCCCTCTCAGTCCTTAGTTCAGAGCTGTTTTTCCAGGTAACTCACCTGCCAGCATTTCATTTGGCTTTTCCTTTCACCAACATTGAAACATGATCATCAAACTAGTCCCTCTCATTTCATTTACTAAGAAATTATCTTGGTTTTATCACATAAGCATATTTTATATTTCTTTTCTAAAAGTTTGGACAAAGGCAAATGGCTGTTAGATCAGAACTTCAGAGGAAGTGGGGGATATAGGCTTACATGTGCAGAACTGGAAACTCATTTATGACAAATACCTTCAACCAAAACATGAGCTACCCACAAACAGCAGATGTTCCTGAAGATTTAGCATGTGAATAATCAAAGGATAATAAGCCCTCTCCAAAACAACAGTCACATATGATAAAGCCCCTGATATATTTTTATCTTTAAGATTTCACCAAAATCTGCTATAATAAAAATATCAAGAAAGGGGATATTTGGGGAGAGGGCAAAAGAGATGATTCCCTGCTTGGTAGGAAGGTGTGAGGCCTGGAGAGAGCTTTGTGTATCTTTCCCTTTGAGGAGATTTTCATGAGTGTTTGTAAAGTGGATTAAAAATGGAGCTTTAGTCTTTGCTTTGAGAGTCACTGGCTAAGTCAAATGTCTGTGGAGCAGGATAAGTCAGCAGTTTAATGGGAGCTGCAAAACTCATTGATACCTTAAACTCCCAAATAAAAATCCCTGCTGCCGGATAAGCACAGATGTTTTAATGTTTCCTTTGGGTGAAAGCATCAGTCCAGCCACGCTCTTTGTCACAGTTCACCGACAATCAGTTTAGCAATTCACTGAATTCTTAAATTTTGAACACAAGGTGAAGAATCTTTTATCCCCAGATATTCTGATTTAGCTCCCTGTATGTTTTTACAACAAATTGTGGACACTTTCAAAATGCCCTGTACAATGTACTTGCTCTGGAAAAGGCCCTTTTATCCACAGACTCAACACAAAAGCTGTTGTCAGACCAAAGTACCACCTGCCCAAATATCTGCTTTAAACAGTGACAAAAGCAGAAGTTTTAGTATAGTAAAAGAATACAGCAAAATACTGAGAGCTGGAATTCCTCAGAATGGAGAAACCCTCCTGGAGATCTCATTGAGGCATTTCAGTCCCTGGAAGGAGCTTAGGAAAAGGAAAGAGACTTTTAATATGGGCAGACAGTGACAGGAAAAGGGACAAGGATTTTAAATTGAAAGAGGTCAGGTTTAGGTTAAATATTAGGAATTCTTTCCTCAGAAGGCAATGAGGAACTGGAACATATTGTCCAGAGAAGCTGTGGATCCCAATCCCTGGCAGTGCCCAAGGCCAGGCTGGACAGGGCTTGGAGCACCCTGGGACAGTGGGAGGTGTCCCTGCCCATGGCAGGGGGTAGGAATGAGATGATCTTTAAGGTCTTTTCCAACCAAGACATGATTCTGTGATTCTGTGACTCAGTTTCCTGACAGCCTCCCAGTGCCTAATGATTTGGAGCTCAGAGATTCTTTGAAGCAGAGGGAATTAATTCTATTACAAACAGATCCTTACAAGGTCTGACAAGTAAAGAAAAGCACATGCTTATGTTTGGGAATTTTATGTCTGTAAATATTAAAAAAAATAAAGATAGATATGTTTCATCCCTTTAAAGAATTAATCATTGGTCTCCTAATCCACCAGACCATTAAAATATCTTTGCCTGAATTTAGGAAATACTTCTAACCAAGCTTCAAAACTGAAACTTTAAAACTCTTTGCCCCGTTTCCAAGCCCTAGAGGCACTTCATTGCTGTTGGCACTTTAGGATTTTATAACTTAAAAGCTGAGCTGTTGTGGTCTGCACAAAAAGAATTCAAAATTCCCTGAGCCAGAATGAGCCAGCATCCTAATCAGCAGCAGCCCCCTTGCTTCTGCTCACTGCCTGTGCTGTGTTTGGACACCCCATGTCACTGCTACATGCAGGGGAATTAATTAGATCAGCAAGGAGGAGGAGAGACAGCCCACAAACCAAGGAATAACTCTCAAGGATAGCAGGGAATATTCCTGAATCTAGAGAGGCCTGGGTTCCAGTTCTGGCTTGGAAGACCTCCCACGTATTTTGCATGAAGCTGTCCCTGGAGCCAGGGTTGGGATTGGGAATTCTCTCTCATCAGGTGAGCGGTAAAACTGAAAATCTGGGGAAACCTCTCCTCCTGCTCCCTGTGGCCCAAACACTGCTTCCTGTGCTGGCTGGGTACTTTCTAATAATGGAAATACAGAG